AGTTGGATGTGAAGTTGTCACATTGCTTGGTGCTGCTTGGTGCCCAGAATGTTACCTCACTAACTAAAACCAATTCCTTTTTTCTACCAAAAAAAAAAAAAAAGAAATCTTTTCTATTTCTCGTACTCTTGTGCAACTTGTATTATGTATTATTAAATTCATGCAAAACCTTTAAATTCATGTGTTATTTTATAGCATTAAAGAGAGAATATCCTTCTAGAAAACAAATGTTGTTTTCTTATATTTACTTGTATGATAAAAGTACATTTCTTATATATATGGTACTATAGAGGTTGCTTTCTTAATTCCTATCAAGTTTGCGGTAGAGAATTTGAGGGAGTCTAAGATTTGGGGAGCTATTATTGGTATAGGTGGGAAATCTGTGAGGTTAAGGAATATGTTGGTGAAGGGGTTTAGGTGTGTGGTAGAGGATAGAAGTCAGGTGGGTTTTTGGAGACATATTTGGGTAGGAGATAGATCTTTAAGGGATTTATGTCCTAGGCTATTTCAGTTAGCTGTTAATAAGGAAGGAGTGGTAAGGGAGATGGGGAAATGGGGAAATGGGAGGGGGCAAGGTGGCGGTGGCATATGGAGTGGCGAAGGGGGAGAATGGGACGTGGATAGGATGAGGGAATGTTGTGGGTGGTGCTGGGTAGGATATAGATTAAGGAAGGCATGGAGGATTCCTAACAGTGGCTGTATGATTTGGAAGGTAGATATATGGTGAAGAGAGCTTATGATTTTTTAGCTCCTATAGAGTGTTTGCTTGAAATCCAGTTTTGCAAACTGATTTGGTGTAGGTTAGTGGCTTCCAAAAGTGGGTTTTTTTGAGTGGAGGTTGTGTCTTGTTCCAACAAGATGGAATTTGTAGAAAAGAGGGGTGGTTTTGTAGGGGAACGGAATGAGGTGTGATTTGTGTAAAGAGGGGGTGGAGGACGTCAACCTACATGTAAAGAAGCTCGGTTAGTGTGGGCTAAGGTGCTTCATTGGTGGGGTTTGGAGGTGGAGATGCCAGATACAGTGAGGGAGTTGGTAGATTTTTTTATGGGTAATTTGGGTATGTTGGTTGGAAAGGAGATGAGTGCATGTATTTTTTGTGGTTGTGTCTTAGTTTTTATGGTATTGGAGGAATGCTATTGTGTTTCGGAGTAATGGGGATTTTCGAGAGCAATTGTAGGATATGGTTCAAGCTAAGGGTATGTTTAAAATTGTGATTGGAGGTTTTTTTATATAGTCATATAACACATTTAGATGTGTATTTGGTAAATTTTTTTCAAATTGTGTTTTTTTTTTTTTAAACCGTAGAAAATCATAATACATTTATAGTAATTTTATATATAATGCTAACAACTTCATTTTAAAGCTTTTTGGTTTGGTTTTTACAGAAAATATTTAATATTTAATATAATTATAAAATTATTTATTAAAATTTAATTTTGTATAATTTAATTATATCATAATTTATAATATTTTAATAATGATAATCACTTTAAAAA